GACATATAGACTAGTCTTAGTAATATTTTAAGCAATAAAACAAAAATTTAAAAAAAAATGTGTTTATAAAATTTATAGTGACACAAAATCTGTACTCATTTATTCTTCCACTGAGCATATATCTATTCAATACCTACTATGTGCCAGGCACCATTCTAAGTTCTAAGGAAGGAGAGGAACACAAGAGAGGCAAGGTCTTATTGAGCTTATAGTCCAGTTTAGCAAAACAGGTGTGAACAAGGACAATTAAACACAAAGCCAATAGTCAGAAGTGCTATGCAGGAAATCCTTAGATCTGGAATGAGATGGGTGGGAAGGAATGAAATGATGAGATCCCAACTGTTGGGGATATAGTCCTTAATGAGGAGTTATGCCAAGTTCTGGAAGAAAATGTGCCTTTCTAAAGGCCACCTGCATGGCTATGCGTCTTTCTAAACAAGAGTGGGAAGCGCAAGTGTGAGTCCAGAGAAGGGGACTGGAAGGACTGACTGCCACCGAGGTTTGGTGGGGTAAGAGCAGCCAGATGCCACAGAGATGAGGACCTGAACAGCTCTGAGACTGCGATGGTGGCAGGGCCAGGCTGGAAGCAAAGAAAGAGGCCAGAGGGGCAACAGGTGGGTGCCAGGTGAGCACACCAAATTTTCTGAATTATCCCCATTTCTACTGCATCTTCATATTACTTTCAAATCATTAGTTAATTGATGGGAATACTATTTATTGAAGAAGGATCTGTTTAGTCTACAATATTAGGAAGTACAGATACTCTGAGAATCATCAATAAAAATGTAGATCAAGTAATTAAATAGGATTCACGTTACACAGACTTTCACACCATAGGCATTCACTGAAGTTTCTAGGGTAAATGCTTAAATAAACTTAAAACTTCTATAGTAAATAGAGGAATTGCCTTATCAATATCCTCCTCTTCGTCTTCCTCCTCCTCCTCTTCTGAAAAGTCAAGAAGTTTCTTGGCCAGCAGTGGATGCCACTGAAGACACTTCCGCTTTGGTCGTTTTCCAGCCCCTTCTCCTTCTGCTGAATGATCTTTATTTCTATTACTGCCTTTCATTACTGTGACCTGTGGAAAGGAAAGAAGGGAGAGAAACAGAAGTCAAAGTAAATTTGATTACAATTAGTTTATTTAGCTTCCTTAGCTTTAATTGGATTGTAGTTCTATTTATTTATTGATTGATTGATTGATTGATTGTGTTCTGTGTTGGATTATAGTTTTAATGACTAAAGTGCCCACCAGCTTAGGCATTTACTGAATTCAGTAAGAATTCTAAGTACATAAATCAAACATTCATTTTATTGTGCCAAACTGAGCTAATAAAATTTGCCTTTTATGAAATCTACTTTCTTGTTACTCTGTACCTTCAGAACTCAAAACCCAAATAAAGTGTTAGGATGATTACAAATTGCTGTCACCCATTCATATTTATTCAGGGCAGTGTTTCTCAAAGTTTCCCATCAGAGAAATGTGAAAAATGCTCCCAGGGGAGCAAAGGTGCTCACAAAAGGTCCTCTATACCTTCTCTATGGCTCCTATTATAATAATTTACATAAATTTTGTATTTTACACTATGATAAATCAGAGATTGAAATTATTATTAAATAAGATGAATACTTTGTAAGAATAAAATGTTTTGGATTTAAAATAAAACTTTCATAAATGACACCTTTTGTTGTTGTTGTTGTTAATCCTCACCCGAGGATATTTTTTTCTATTGATTTTCAAAGAGAGGGAAGAGAAAGAGAGAGAGAGAGAAGCACTGATGTGAGAGAGAGACATTGATTGCCTCTCACACGTGCCATGATCTGGGCTGAAGGTTGAACTTGCAACCAGGTACATGCCCTTGACGGAGAATGGGACCAGCAACTTTTTGGTGTGCAGGCCAGCGCTCCAACCACTGAGCAACACCGGCCAGGACTGACACACATTTGTCAAAAGCTAGTTATGTGCAGCCTCTAAGGACACAGTGCAGGAATACTGTAGTTCAGTCAGTGGGGTGAGTAGCCTCAGTACCCACTGCGACACACAAATTGCAAATCCCTTTGTGTGTCTGCATTACATACATGCTGCAATCAGTGACAAAGTTTCACTCCCTTGTTTTTTTCCTCCTTAATGGGTGATTTGCTGAAACAGCTAGGCAACAGTCAGGCCATGGATGTGAAAAAATCTTTTAGGAGCCCAAAATTCTACATTACTTTTCAATGACTAAAAAAAGTTTAATAAAAACTTTTTTTATTAACCCAATAAAAACAACACCTATATTGTAAAGGTGAAAATAGCATAAAATGAGGTTTACCTACATCATCATGTCCAGCCCCAAGTCCAGACAGAGGTAAGCTATACATGTTGAATTTCTTACATACTTTATCACAATGTTTGATGTTTCATTTTTCATTCATTCATTTGAAGTAACAATATACAAATTATGTTTTAAACATACTCATGAAAACATTCAAATATAAAGTTAAATGCCATCAATTTAAATGGTTCATGTTGACAATCACAAACACAAATGCAGTTGCTGAAAACACAGGATAGTGACCTTTTTTGGTCAGTGTAAGTTTGTCTTGGTCCAAATGCTTGAAAAGTAATATCAATAAACTTTTAAGGCCATGTTGCTAAAAATGGGGTCCACATATAGTTTCAAGATTAATCCAGTTCTCGTGCCTTCAAAACAATATGGCATAGGCAAATTTATCCTTCAAAACAATATGGCATAGGCAAATTTATCCTTCCTTAACTATTTCTGTATTTGGGGTCATGCTTAGGTCTTCAAATTAAAAATAATAATAATAATGATAATGTTCATTCTAGAACTTGTATGATTTCATCATTTAAAAAATGTAAATATTTGACCTGGAATTCATTCTGACAAAAGGAGTGAGGAAGAGAAATAGCTTCTTCTTTTTTTCTAAATAATAACTGTTCCAACACCATTTATTAAATAATTCAGGTTTCTCCCATTCCTGTGAAATGCCACTTTTATCCTATCCTAAATTGCCAGAGGTGTATGAGTCCACTTCTGAATTCTCTTCTGTATTATCAACACCACCACCCCTCTTACCTGTTTTGCCTATCCTATCCAATTTTAATATCCTTAAGGACTACATTATTCTGTCCCTTTTTAATATACAAATACAACAAATAAACATAGCCAGTAATATTTTTAAATTTCCTATATCATACTCTTTTCTCTAAGTCAGTATATCTTGATCATTCTCATTTGGGAATAACTACGTAATATTCCAAAATAAGAATGTATCACAATTTATCCAAATATTCCATTATTGGTGAACATTCAAATTATTTCTTGTGTTGCAATAAAAAAATCATTTATTAAAATATTTTTAAATATTCATTTTGATAATAATCCTCATTGATTTATTAAAAGCCATGTCAGTCAAGAAAAGGGGGGAGAGAAAACTATGTTCCTGTGGTTTTTTAAGCAAGAAATTTCTGTTGAATATCTGCAGCAATTACAAGATTTGTGTGGCTGCCTCAAGAGAACAAGAAGTTACTGAAAACTCTAAATGGAAATACTTATCTAGTTTGCTCTTAATAAAGGAACAAAGATTTCTTGTGAACTGATGATAGACCATTTAACAATTCCCATTTTATCTACAAATAAAACTTGGCACAGGCAACCCAATTTCCAAAAATACCAATGTTATATATAAAGAAAAGGAAATGGTTATTTTTGTGGCGTATTAATCACTTTAGAATGAACTGCTTGAGTGATAATTAAACCCATACTTGAAGGCCCAATATTTTATGAGAGAAAACTTTTTTTTTTAAGTAAAATTTACTTTTTAAAAACTTGTTGGTTTTAGAGAGAGCGAAAGGGAGAGAGAAACATCAATTTGTTGCTCTACTTATTTATGCATTTACTGGTTGGTTCCTGTATAAGCCCTAACCGAGGACTGAACCCGTAATCTTGGTGTATTAGGAGGACATTCAAGCCAACTGAGCTACCCAGTCAGGGCCACATAACACATTTTAAATCAATGGGAATCCATAAGTTGTTACCAACTAGCGAGGTCAAAGTGATTGATAATGCCTAGAGAAAAATATATCATTTAGCCTTAAGGATTTTGATTATGCTATTTCATTTATGTGTGAATGTGTTTAAGTATATGTGTCTTTCTGTCTGTATGGATAATTTCAATATTCAAACAGAAAATAGATATCAAGAATCAAATTAATGGATAGTGGATGTGGTTTTTGGGTTTAAAATAATTACATTAACCACTCCCACCCTTACCCCTACTGTTCTACTTCTTAGCATGCAGCTGACAGGCCACTATAGATACTATATATCTCTTTTAATACTCCCCAAATTAAACTGTCCTTTCCCAGAAATACGTTAGAAAGACTTTGTATTGCTAATGACACCACATTTTACCTTAAATAACAAAATTATTTGGATATTCCCTACCTCCAGCATAAGGCCTTTTTCTTGATGATCCAAGACTTTATTTATCTTCATGAGTTCAGAAGCATCCTGGCTCACCAGAACATCAAGATCAGTTAGTCATAAGGGTTGTCCTAAGCAACTATATGAACTTCCATGTTGAATGTTCACAATAATTCGCTATTCTTATACACTAGAATGGTTTCAAAATTAATCCCCATCTCTCACATTCTCCTGAATTCAGATATTATTCCCTGAATGGGGAAAAGAGGGTTGGAAGAGGCTGAAAATTGCATATCACTAATATGCAGGCCAAGGTGGCATGTGGTGTGTGAGAACCACATGGACTTTGGAAGAAATAAGGTTGATAAACCTAGCACAGTGCCTAGAACACAATAAGCATGGAATAAGTATTTCTAGCCTGAATGGAAGATGAATAAATAAGTTATTTGGAGAGAGTATACCTCAGACAAAATAGTCAAGGAAAGTATAACTGATCTAATGACAATGAAATATTTCAAACTACTAACAGTAAACTTTAATAATTTAGTTATCTAATTACATTTTAATTCCCTATGGATCTATCTTCAAAGTGTTAAAAGAAAGCAAAAGAGTGGGGAAAATGATGTTTCTGATTATCATTCAAATGTAATGAGAGAAGAATGCATGAAAAGACTAAGAAAAGGTGGGAAAGACAAGGGCAAAGAAGTCAGAATATTGAGACTTAACCTTATCACTCATCTTCTTTCAAAAATGAGGAAGAGGAAAATTGTTAATTTTTGATAGTAACAGAGAACTACCCTGGAATTATTTGACATTAAAACCCCCACAGATTGTAAAGTTTGGCTTCTTATTCTTGAACAAGAGCATATTAAGCAAACAATATATATGCAATAAATGAAGCAATTGACAGATTTTATTCAAAAGGGGTCATTGGTCCATTCTGTGCTGCAATTCTAGAATAACTAAAGTCAGGTTATTTAACTATCAGTGGACTCTACTTGAAAAAGTCCATATCAAATTATGTTGCTAAAACTGTCAAATGATGGAGGCTGAAGGCCCCTATCCAAAATATTGAATATTCATTTATCTTATAAAAACAAAGCAACCCATGTGTGCTCCCTCTCTGTGCCAGGATGAGCAATTAGATACTCACTGTACTGAATTAAATTTAAGTCAACTTAGTGATAAATTAGAAAAAATACAGCAAGCACATTCATGAAGACCTCTACTGACTTAATCTTCATGAGAAATTTCAAGAAGAAATATCAGAGAAGAAACAATACAAAGCAAGCACCTCATTTAACAAAAGAAAAAAATGGACACGGGAGTGTGGCAGGCCTCATTTAGAATTCTGCTTCTGCCATTAAATGCTTGTTGTAGAGTTATTAATCTTGCTGATCCTTCCTCATATATTAAAACTGAATAGCCACTCTCCTGTGAGAACACTTTTTATATAACACCAAGTACAGACACTCAAGGTTAGTAAATCCTCCCTTTACCCACAACTTTGTAGAGGGAGTATGGGTTTAACTGGCAGCATCTGATCCCTGAGCTCAGCCCAAAATGCTGTTCAGGAGATCACAGATGTCTCCCACGTAACAGTGGCCTCTAGTCTCATAAACTGAAAAAGAAAGATGGAAAGTTTCCTTCT